CTGGCAGAAGAGATGAGCAGTGCTCCAGGGACCGTGCGATGTCGTCGATGGTCCACCTGTCTTCAGGGAGGGCATGCTCTCCAAGTGTAAAGGGCCCCTGTTTGGTGCGGGTCAGCTCCAGCACGTTGGCGCAGGAAGAGAGTTCTACAGCACCCAAAAGTGAAAATGTAAGGTGAGTCACACATATTCACAATCTGCAAATTTTCAAACAACAGAAATCTACTCAGACGTCTCAGGGTACTAGCCCAGTACAAGAGTCCAGAGCCTGAGGTAAACCAGAGCTTAAGCAGGGAAGACTCTTTAGTGGTCTAAACTTACTTACACCTGCTTTTCAAAACCACTTGGCACTTGAAGCAATCCTGTAGCATGAATCTTAAAAGTTCTTATTAATAAAATCAAACCTGAGCCAGGTATTGGGGTGAACACTGGAAGATCAGAAAGACAGAACAAGCCACAGCTAACCTCACTTGGCCAACTTCTCAGTTGGTCTTGTTTCCTCAGACTGGAAGCTTCTGTGTCCTCATCCCAATGGCTCTCAGCTCAACTGCTGCTAGAAGCCTGAAAGCTTAACCAGCCAAATGCTTCTAGTTTCTGGTCCTCACGCCTTATATACTTTTCTGCTTTCTACCACCACTCTCTGGGATTAAAGGCTGGCTTTCTCGGATTAAAGTCACCATGCTTAGCTGTTTCCAATGTGGCCTTGGAAACTCACAGAGATCCAGAGGGATTTCTATCTCTGGAGTGCTAGGATTAAAGGTGTGAGTGCCACCATTTTCTAGCCTTTGTATCTAGTGGCTGTTCTCTGACCCCAGATTAATTTATTAGGGTGAACAATATTTTGGGGAACACAATGCCACCACATTTCCTCTCTTTTTGTCTAAAATTAAAAAAAAAAAACTTATAACTAGTACAAGAAAAACTATCTCCAATAAGTATATGCAATATACAGTCAAAATTACATTAACAATGTCTAGTCCATTAACATTTGACAGATTCAGACAAAAACTCCATTATATATATTAACAATGTCCAGTCCAGTAACATCTGATAAACTCAGACCAAAAAATTTTCATTACTTATCTTATTTAAAACAAGTAGTT